GAGACCGTCTGGGGGGGAACCGATGTACAAGCGTGATCCTGGCCTGGGGCCCTGGGTCCATGATCTCCTTTATGTATATTCCTCTTCCTACATTCCCCAATTCGGCTTGCCTAAGGGGTTCTTACTTGGTTAAACGTTGGTGCCTCTTATGGTTACTTCGCCCGTTGCTCGGAGGTTCCTCGGGTTCCTCTGGCTCCTTGGGCTCCTCGGGTTCCCCGCCCCTGGTGCCTCCCATTGTTACGTTGCCCGTTTCCCCGAGGTTCCTTGGGTTCCCCGGGTTCCTAGGGTTCCCCGCCCCCTGGTGCCTCCTAGTGTTACGTTGCCCGTTCATCGGAGGCTCCTCGGGTTCTCCAGGTTCCTCGGGTTCCCTGGGTTCCTCGGGTTCACCGCCTCCCGTTGCCCCAAGCAATGCCAAGCAATGCCAAGCGATGCCAAGCAATGCCAAGCAATGCCAACCCATGCAAAGCAATGCCAAGCAATGCCAATCAACGCAAAGCAATGACAACCCATGCGAAGCAATGCCAAACAATGCCAAGCAATGCCAAGCAATGCCAACCCATGCAAAGCAATGCCAAACAATGCCAAGCGATGCGCCCAGCGATGAGCCCATGCAATAAGCTTTCCCCCTAATTGGGGTCGCACCGGGTTCTTTTTTACAAGCCCAGGGGGGGGGGGACCCCCTCTGTTCTTCTGTCTTCCGGGCGTCCGAGACCACCCAGGAGGCCCGAAAATCGCTCCGAAAGTATCCGAAAGGGCTTCCTGGCAGTCCACGAGAGCTCCGGACCATTCCAAATCGTGGCCCAGTCGTTCAGGGAGACCGCGGTTGGAAGCAGGATGGCCCGAGGAAACCCTGGCCCCAGAATGCGCCCAGGAGGCCTCCAGAAGGCCGCAAGAAGCCCTTAACAAGCTGAAAAGCTCTCCAAGGAGGAGCCTCTGCAAAAAGAGCTGAGGATGGGTAAGAATTAGCAGGGTAGGGCGACAAGGGGGAAGAGGAAAAGGAAACATGAGGGACATATAATGCCTAATCTTTTTTATAGCGGCGATGTTTGAACAAGGCAGCAAGGCGTCATCGCTAAATTGTCGGTTTCACCTTCCAGTCCTTCCGCCAGCATGTCAAATTAAAAGGAACAAAGCACATGGCGCGAAACGCCAATGCAGTCTTGTTTATATTAAACCTATAGGTATGTATGTATGTATGTATGTATGTATGTATGTATGTATATATATATATATACGTACGCATACATATATACGTACATCAATCCATACAGACAGACAGACAGACAGAGACAGACAACGACAAACAGACAGACAGACAGACAGACAGACAGACAGACAAACAGACAGACAGACAGACAGACAGACAGACAGACAGACAGACAGACAGACAGACAGACAGACAGACAGACAGACAGACACACATACATATATATATATATATATACACATATATACACATGTGTGCGTATTTGTGTGACGTTCGCTTGGCGTCGCTGCCCGCTGCTCCTCGCCATTGTCCGCTGCCCGCCGCGTCCCGCCACTGCCCCGCGAAGGGCCGGGGCTTTCTCCCTTGCGCTTGCTGGCTGACCAAGGTAGGCCCTTGGTGGCCCCCCTCTGCGCGGTGCGCCCGAAACAATGTGTGTGTGGGCTGACATTGGCACCCGTTCATCGCTGGAAGCTGTCCCCCCCCGCCCTTCGTGGGCTTCCAGGTCGGTCTCGGCCTCCTGGTCGTTCCACGCTGCTTACTCGCCCCCCGCGTCTTTCGGTCCAAGTTGGCTTATGTCACCCTCACCGCACTGTAGCTTCGTCTAGTCACCGCCCCCTCTTCCATCCGCGCGTTTCGGGGTCCACACCTGGTGCCGCTGGCTGGGGGTACACGTCCCGCACTTTCACGCGGTCCTTGCGGCCGTGCATCGTGCTGAGCCCTTACAGTCGGGCAGCGACACTCACTGGCCAACGCGCGCCTATTCTACACACCTCTTGTTGTATTGCGTTGCGTGGTCGCATTGGCCGTTTCCGCGAGCATTCTCTCGAATGTCAGTGCAGGGGTACGCTCCGCAGGCTTCTGCACCTGCATGGCCGTCTCGGCGTTTTCTACGTGCATCCGTTTCGACGAATTTCTGCTGCATGCATCAGCCGCGTCCTGACCGATCATCTGAAAAAAACCACATGGTAATCGAACTGGGCGTGTCCCGCATCAACACACGCTGCGGCGACATAGTGACGACAACAGCGAAATGCCGGTGTGTGCGTGTCTGTTTGCAGCCGGCATTCCCACCTCGCACGTTCATGCGGGTCTCGAACCTTAGTGGTCCTGTCTGGGTTTCTCGTTCCGCAGCGGGTGCACACCGTTGGGATCAATAGGATATAGATCTAGCCGTTGCTTCCCACCTTCTTTCGTATGTGCGCGGCCCGTTCTTCGAGGCCTTCCTCTGGATTCGCTTTCACTCCCGATCGCCGTCTTCAGCGCAGCTGAGCCAATGGTGTGTTCGCTGCCCGCTCTTATTCTAGATCGCGTCTGTGGTGCCACACCGCCGTCGGAGGCAAACGTCTGTGTCTGTGTGTGTGTGTGTGCGTGTGTGTGTGTGTGTGTGTGTCCTGCCCCGCCGCTGCATCCCCTGCCCTGGCAGGACGGATCGCCGGCCTTCTGCAGGGTTTTGGACGGGCCGTCGCCTGTGGCCTCCTCCCTTTCGCTCCTGTTGGCTCGTCTTTCACTGTTCCGCAGGGCCTTCCCTGGCTCTGGGTGCTGGCTGGCCTCAGCCACCCCTCCAGATGCCCTCTTTGCTTGGTTTTCAAGCCAGGCCAGCGTGCTACACGCCGGCTTCGTCGGCGGTCCTGCTCCGCCCTGCTCCGCTCCTCCCCGGCCCACCCCGCCCTCGGGGCGTCCAGGGCGGCCGCTGGTGTGCGCCCAGTAAGTCCCGTGGATCGCCGCGCCTCCGCTCGCCCTCGTCGCTCCTCCTTGCTGGGTCCGTTCCCCAGCGACCCCCTGGCCCCTCCCCTGAGGTGGTCTTCTCCGGCCGCCCGGTCGCCTGGAGGTCGGTCCGACCTCGGCGCGCGACCGCTTCGCTGCGCTGCTCGCCCCCGGCACGCGCTGGGCCTGCTCCCCCCGCCCGGCGATGCCGCCCCGGGCTGCTGCACTCCCCCGGCTGCCCTGCGGCCGCCGCCCCGCCGCCCCGGCGCTGCCCCTGCCGCGGCCTGGCCCCGCTCTGAGCGGGCCCGGTCTCTCCTCTCTTCCGCCCGCGCCGGGCTTCCTCCTCCCCCTTCTCTTGCAGTGCGGTTTAATTCGAATCTGTATGTCCGACACATGCTCTTTCCGCCAGCGCAGTCATTCTCTAGCCGCCGACGTAAAAAGTGTGTGTGTGTGTGTGTCTGTGCGTGTGTGTGTGTGTGTGTGTGGTGTTGGCGTGTGTGTGTGTGTGTGTGTGCATGTGTGTCGCTCGTACTCCAGGAGGGTCCACACGGGCGCCGCAGAGACCTACGGAGCCTCCCGAGTCCTTGTGAGCTTTGTGTGTGTGTGTGTGTGTGTGAGTGTGTGTGTGTGTGTGTGTGTGCATGCGTGCGTGCGTGCGTGCGTGCGTGCGTGCGTGCGTGCGTGCGTGCGTGCGTGCGTGCGTGTGTGTGTGTGTGTGTGTGTTTGTGATAGATCCAGCTGCTTCCCCACTTCACATCCTGCAGGTCCTGCCCAGCTATAGACCTCCTTCGGGTAGTTTTTGTCCACCGTGGGCCATCCTCCACGCAAGTTGGCACTTCACTTTGATGTAGCCCGTCTTAGCATTCTCGCGAATGTGGTGCCACATCGCCAGCGGAGGGAGAACAAATGTGTGTGTGTGTTTTTGCAGCCTGGCCTGCAGTCGGCAACCGCTTTCACTGCGGCTCGCTCGCCTTCACTCGGCGCCTTTCTTGCGGTGCCCTCCCGGCTCCTCCATCGGCTGCACGTAAGAGCGACCCTGGGCAAGAGTGACCTTCGGTGCGCGGCTTTTGTGGGGCGCGAGGGAGCCAAACCCAAGCGCGCAGGCCGCTGCTATCGCATCGCATTCAGCGATCGGGGGCCCCAAGTGGGCCCGCACCAAAGATCACTCTGGCGAAGGGCCGCTCTTACGTGCAATCGACTCCACCGCCTCTCTCCTCTGGTTGGGGCCGGCGGCTTAGACTTCGCTCGTCTGGTTTCCTGCGCTGCCCAATTCTTCGGGCTCGGGCTCGCTCTCGCGCGTCTTCTTGCCTTGGACTCTGCGCTGCTTTACAAGGGCGCCAATTCGAGGTACACGCGTCCCGTTGCCTTGCATCCGTGGTTCGATTCAGCCGCGCGTCAGAGGAACACACACACATGTGTGTGTGTGTGTGCGTGTGTCTGTGCTCCGGGTCATCCTTGTTGTTTTCCTCCGGTGACACCTGGCTGGCCCGGGATTCCGCTCGCTGCCCTGTTCCTCCTTCCTGGTCGGCTTCCGTGGCAGCCCTCCTGCTGCGCCTCGCTTGCTGCCTCGACTCGTCGCTGCCGCACTTGCTCAGGACTTGACGCATCCTTGCCCGAACGTGACCCTCAGATGCCCTAGCATGTCCTCAAGTTTCCCCAACATGGCAAATGGTGTCCCAAGATGCCACAAGATGGACCCCATAGGTGCAATGATTGCCATACTACTGCCCAACATGGCCCAACAAGGCCCCAATGTAGCTTGAATGTGTCCCCGTATCACTCAAGCAATCCGTAGGATGAGCCGAATTAGACCCACAACCTGTTCCAACGATTTGTTTTTCCATTGTACGGGCTGATAGCTTAAGGCAAAGCCCGGCTGATATCTGTACCGAAAGAAGGTTGGATGTAATAAACTTGCCCAGCGTGTCCTCCTGCTCATAGATCCACACTACGGTGGCCATTACCACCCCGAGGAATATTGAGGTGACAGAAATAGCAACACAATCCACTCCCCGCTGGAACCAAGGGTTGTAGACCTTGCTGGTGAGAGGAGACGGAAGAGGATGATGATGATGATGATTCTGATGCTGATGACGATGCTGCTGCTGATGGTGATGATGAAGAAGAGAAGGGGGGGCAACATCATTTATCCACCTTTGTTAGCACGTTCTCGTTGACTGGGTTCGGCTTCGGGTCGCCCCTGTAGTCTGGCCGCTTGACATCGCCCGAGTCCAGGTTGGATAGCCCCCACAACTCCTCAAACAGAGTGGACGAGGGGGAAGAGAAATAGGAGGAGTGAGGAGGCGGATGAGCTCCTTGTAGTGGTTCGCCCTCCGCGCCCAGAACTTGAGGTACATGTCACTCCACACAGAAAGACAAACTGCTGAGCCAAGGTATATCGCCGCGACGATCCGCTTCTGCTCAGGCGTCTCGCGCTCGTCGTGTATCTGTGTCAACACGTCGAAGCACACGGCGAAGGGCAGTACCCACACGATCGCCATCGTCGTGTAGTGCAGCCACGCAAAATAGAATCCGATCATCTCGCCAAAATAATCTCGAATCTCCTGGACGGGAGGGCCGTATTGGGGCAGAATTCCCTGCAAAGTCTCGCAAACTCGGAAGTTGGCCCAAGGGACGTGACCCATCCGGAAGTCGGCCCTCGAAGGCTGCTGGCCCCACCGGAACTCGCGCAACTTCGTGGCCTTGTGCACCGCGTAGTAGGTGGAGATAACGCCCTGGCCTTGGCAATCTTCCAGGTCGAAGAGCTGCTCGAGGCTGCCGACCAGAAGCCTCACCCGGTCCACCGTGCGCATGAATGACCCGGGGGTGCCCGCGAGGCCGTCCGAGTACTGTCTGAACAGGCCCAAAATCTTCGACTTTGACCCCTCGTGCTTGAACAGGCCAAAGACGTCCTCGGCGTCCTCCACTAGGTCTCTGTCGAACTCCAGGTACGTGGCGTCCAGCTCGGACGTCATGCTTTGTTTCACCTTCAGCTTTTCGCTCGCGTTCGTCGCAGTGAAGTTCGTCTGGAAGCTGTAGCGCTTGTTGTGCGCGAAGGTCTTGGCCACGTCGTCGTCCTGCAGCCAGTCGACATCTTATCCATGCCCCTGCTAACGCCAGCACTCCACGAAAGGGCGGGGCGGGGGCATGGATAAACATCTGGCCTCGGCAGGCCAAGCTCTTTATCCATGCTATGCCCCCTCTGGCAGCAAGAGTGGGGGCGGTAGCAGGGGTATGGGTCGAACATCGATCCTCGATACGGGGGAAACCAACAGATACCGATACCGATGCTTCCCAGGCCTTCCCCAGGGCGCGTTCTGACTGAAATATCGAGGCGACTCCAGCGTTGGCGACGAGAGCTTCCCAGGAGGCCCAAACTAGCGAAAAGGAGGCAAGGATAGCGGTGTCGGTACGTTTTCCTCCGAGATCCTGAGCCTTCAGCAGGGGGTCCCCCAGAGAGATGAGGAGGAAATGCTCGTCGTCGTCGCGGGACTGGAAGGACTGCATGCTGCAGTACTGCTTGGCCAGATACCTCTTGAGGTCTGCGAGCAACGCCTCCCGCACCTCCTTCGAAAGAGAAAAAGCACGGTACAACTATGTATGCATTATTCACCCGACAAGTTTTTCCCAACCATCCTGTGGTGTTCGGTCCTCGTTTTGCAGAGACAGCGCCCCGCGTTCCTCTCCTCCTCCTCCTCCTCCTCCTCCTCCTCCTCCTCCTCCTCCTCCTCCTCCCCCTCCTCCCTCCTCCCATCATCATCGCCATCACCATCATCATCAATATCATCATCACGTTCCGTGGCCCCATAGGGAGCTCCACCGAAGGTCCCAGTGGCGCAGCCCGCATGCGTCTCCCACACCCAGTACAACATTTGGTGACCCCATAGGGAGCTCCCTCCAGCGAAGGTCCCAGTGACGCAGCCCGCATGCGTCTCCCTCACCCAGTATAGCGTTCGTGGCCCCGTAGGGAACCCCACCCAGTACAGCGCTTCGTGGCCCCATAGGGAGCTCCACCGAAGGTCCCAGTGGCGCAGCCCGCATGCGTCTCCCCCTTACCAGTACAGCGTTTCGTGGCCCCACAGGGAGCTCCACCGAAGGTCCCAGTGGCGCAGCCCGCATGCGTCTCCCCCTCCCAGTACAGCGTTTCGTGGCCCCATAGGGAGCTCCACCTACGGTCTCAGTGGCGCAGCCCGCGTGCGTCTCCCCCTTGCCGGTACAGCGTTTCGTGGCCCCATAGGCAGCCCCACCTAAGGTCCCAGTGGCGCAGCCCGCATGCGTCTCCCACACCCAGTACACATTTGGTGACCCCATAGGGAGCTCCCTCCAGCGAAGGTCCCAGTGACGCAGCCCGCATGCGTCTCCCTCACCCAGTATAGCGTTCGTGGCCCCATAGGGAGCCCCACCCAGTACAGCGCTTCGTGGCCCCATAGGGAGCTCCGCCGAAGGTCACAGTGGCGCAGCCCGCATGCGTCTCCCCCTCCCAGTACAGCGTTTCGTGGCCCTATAGGGAGCTCCATCCACCTAAGGTCCCAGTTGCGCAGCCCGCATGCGTCTCCCCCTTACCAGTACAGCGTTTCGTGGCACCATAGGGCGCCCCACCTAAGGTCCCAGTTGCGCAGCCCGGATGCGTCTGCCACACCGAGTACAGCGTTCGTGAACCCATAGGGAGCTTCACCGAAAGTCCCAATGGCGCAACCCGCGTGCGTCTCACACACCAAATACAACGTCCCGTGGCCCCATAGGCAGCCCCACCTAAGGTCCCAATGGCGCAGCCCGCATGCGTCTCCTTCACCCAGTATAGCGTTTCGGGGCCCCATAAGGAGCTCCACCAAAGGTCCGAGTGGTGCAGCCCGCATGCGTCTCCCCCACCCAAGACAGCGTTTCGTGGCCCCATAGGGAGCTCCACCTAAGGTCCCAGTGGCGCAGCCCGCATGCGCCTCTCCCACCCAGTACAGCGCTTCGTGGCCCCGTAAGGATCTCCACCAAAGGTGACAGTTGCGCAGTCCGCATGCGTCTCCCCCACCCAGCACAGCGTTTTGTGACCCCATAGGGAGCTCCACCAAATGCCCCAGTGTCGCAGCCAGCATGCGTTCCCCACCCAGTACAACGCTTCGTGGCCCCATAGGGAGCTCCACCTAAAATGCCAATTGCGCAGCTCGCATGCGCCTCCCCCGCCGGGTACAGCGTTTCGCTGCCGTATGAGGGGGCTGCACCGAGGACGATACCTACAACTGCGCTGTTCACAACTGAATATGGTAGGATCCTTCGCCAGTCTAGTTTTGATATCTGCACATGCACGTACGTATGTCTGTATGTATGCATGTCTGTCTGTATGCATGTACGTATACATATATGTATGCATGTCTATATGCATGCATGTCTGTATGCATATATGCATTCATGCATGCATGTATGCATGTCTGGCTGTATGCATGTAGGTATGCATGTATGTATGTATGTACGTATGTATGCATGTATACATGCATGTACGCATGTATGTGTGTATGCGTGCATATATGCACGCATGTATATATGTATGTTTATGTGTATGTGTGTGTATGTATATATACATGTATGTATGCACGCATGCATGTAGGTATGTATGTATATGTGTATGCATAGTTGCATGTATTTATGGTTGTTTATTTGTATGCATATGTGTATGTATGTACGTATGAATGTATGAATGTATGTATGTATGTATGCATGCATGTCTGTCTGTCTGTCTGTCTGTCTGTCTGTCTGTCTGTCTGTCTGTATGTATGTATGTATGTATGTACGTATGCATATCTACATGTGTACAATAACTGTTTTTCCACGGCCGTCCTGTGGTGTTGGTCCTCGTTTTGCAGAGCTATCCCCGCGCCTCCTTCTTCTCCTCTCCTCCTCCTTCTTCTACTCCCCCTCCTCCTCCTCCTCGTCCTCGTCGTCCTCCTCCTCCTCCTCCTCCTCCTCCTCCTCCTCCCGTCGCTCCCCTCAATTTGGCACACCCCTCACACATTTCGTGGCTCCACAAGGAGCTCCACCGAAGGCCCAGATGCCAGCGCTCGCATGCGGTCTCCGTGCCCATTTTGGCACACCCCTCTCACATTTCGTGGCTCGGGGAGCTCCACCGAAGGCCCAAATGCCAGCGCTTGCATGCGGCCGCCGCCGCCATTTTTGGCACACCCCTCACACGTTTCGTGGCCCCATGGGGAGCTCCACCGAAGGCCCAGATGCCAGTGCTTGCATGCGGCCGCAGCGCCCATTTAGGCATCAGGCGTTTCGTGGCCCCAGAGGGGGTTCCACCAAAGGCCCAACTCAGAGCTCGCATGCGGACGCCGCGCCCTCCACCGAAAGCCCAGATGCCAGCGCTCGCATGCGGTCTCCGTACTCATTTTTGGCACACCCCTCACGTTTCGTGGCCCAATGGGGAGCTCCACCGAAGGCCCAGAGGCCAGCGCTCGGATGTGGCCTTCGCACTGATTTTGGCACACCCCTCACACGTTTCGTGGCCCCATAGGGAGCTCCACCGAAAGCTCAAATGCCAGCGCTCGCATGCGGCCGCCGCACCGGTTTTGGCACACTTTTCACACGTTTCGTGGACCCATAGGGAGCTCCACCGACGGCCCACATGCCATCGCTCGCATGCGGCTGCCGGACCAGTTTTGGCACACTCCTCACACGTTTCGTGGACCCATAGGGAGCTCCACCGACGGTCCAATGCCATCGCTCGCATTCGGCCGCCGCACCGATTATGGCAAACCCCTCGCACGTTTCGTGGCCCCATGGGGGCTCCACCGGATGTGGTGCACACAATGGCAGTACCCACAGCTGTATATGGTTGAGTCCTTCGCCAGGCTAGTTATTGTGTTTTGTGAATTCAACTTGCGATTTTGTTGATTGATGTGGAAGTCACATGTATTAGATGCCCCTTTACGACACGTTCTTTTGTACGAGAACGTACGTTTCCGGTACAGTTCTTTGATATATATATATATATATATATATACACACATACGTATCCTAGAACCACGCGCGTGCTTCGGGCGCATTTCGGTTCTAGCCCAACCCATGGCGCTGTGATGACACGAAGGTCGGGGTTTGCGGGCGACTCGCTGTCGGAGAAGGGTTGCGACCGTCTTGGGCCCTTTATGGGATGTCGCAGGGCTCCCTTGGACTGGCTTTGGGGCTGTTTAGGCGCTGTCTTGGGGGAGGGGACAGGTGTCGTTGGCCCAAAATGGCCCCGTCCAGGATTGCCAGATCGTTGTCACGACACGCAAGTCTTGGTTTGCGGGTTAGCTTGGGAGACCGCTTAGTAGCCTTGAGGGCATTGACTGGCTTTCTGATGAGATGTCGAGGCCGTAGTTTGCTGACCTTTGGATATCGTCACATTTTCTTGGCCCGTCTGGACGATCACGTGTGGAAGGGGGGAGGAATGACGGAGGACGGGTCAACAACTGCCTTGAAATAGAATGTACGCGCTGCCACGCCAGCTGGCGGAACACGTGCAGAAGGAACGAGGAATGCCAGAGGACGCAAGGCAACTGTCTTGGTACATACTGTAGCGCTGTCACGCCAGGTGGCGGAGCACTTGCAGGAAGATCGGGGAAAGACGGAGGAAGGAAGGAACGCAACTTTGATTTTGCATACATGCGCTGTCACGCCAGCTGGCGGAACACGTGCAGGAAATCCTTCAGGTCGCACCGGCAGGGCCTCAAGTTCGATGACTTTGCTTCCAGTGCTGAAGAATTTCGAGCCACCTCCAGCCGTTCTTCGGCGTTCTTTGAGCCTGTTGGACGGGCGCATTTGAGCGTCTTTGGGGGCCGGTTTGGAACCCTCTTAGGGGGCTTGCATGGTCATCTTGGGAGTTTCGTGGGGCCCTTTTGGGGGCCTCTTGGGCTGTCTTCGGACCCTATTAGGGCCGTGCCCAGGCCGTCTTGAGCCCATCTTGTGCAGTCTTGGAGCCGTCTTGGGCGGTCGGAAGCTAGGAAGAGCGAAACCAAACGAATTCTTCAAACACCTCAGGAACATCAATGTGTTTGGCCTCATCAAGGCCTCTTTGGGGCGCGCTGGGGGCTCTCCTGGGGTGTCTTGGGGACCTCTTGAGCCGTGCTGAGGCCATCCTGAGCGCCCTTGGTGCCCTTTTGGGCCGTCTTCGGCTCATTTTGGTTCGTGTTAGGCGGTCTTGGGGGCATCTCAGGCTGTCTTGGAGGCCTCTTGGGCCGTCTGGAGGCCTATTGGAGGCTTCGGGGAGGGGGTATCAAGAATGGGGGCGTGATGGTAGCGAGGTGCTGGGCCCCCCGGCGAGGATTGGGGTCCGAAGTTGCTTTGTCTTCGGGGGCTCTCGTCGTCGCCTCGGCTGGACGCATCTCGAAGCGACGCTTTTCCCGAGGATGTGCAGGACGAGGACGGGGAGGGAGATGAGAAAGCAGACATATCAATAACAATTGGAGGAGCAATTGGGCCACCTTGAAACCGTCTTTTCGGCGTCTCGGGAATCTCTTTGGGCTGTCTTGAGCTCACACCACCGTCCGCACTTAGGATCCATGGTGTTAGGAACTAGTTACGTGATGAAACACAAGAACCAGACGAACATCTATGCATTTAGCGTCTCCGAGCCTTCTTGGGGGTCCTCTTGGGGCCTCTTTGGGCCACTTCACGCCCTCTCGGGCCGTCCTGGGACCCATTTGGGGCGTCTTGGAGGGCGTTAGCTGTCTTGGGGCCTTGTTTGGGCTCTCTTGGAGGGCTCGTGAAGCCCTCTCGGACCTCTCTTGAAGCCATTTGGGACCTTCTGGGCCTCCTTGGGGCCGTCTTGGAGCGCCCTTGGGCCGTCTTGGGCCTTTCTTGGGCCGTCCTGGGGCCCTCTTTGGGAGCGGCTTGGGCCGTCTTGGGTCGATTTCTGGGGCCTCGTGGGCTGTCTTAGTCTGTCGGAAGCATGAAAAAGCCAGAAGACGGAAAACCTCCGAAGACTTCAAATAATGAACCCAGCGCGACCCCAGTTAGGGGAAAACTTCCTATTGCATGGGCGCAATGCTTGGCACTGCTTCTCATTTCTTGGCATTGCTTGGCCTTGCTTGGCTTTGCTTGGCATGAGGCTCTGGGGGCGGGGAACCTGGGGAACTTGGCATTGCTTGGCATTGCTTGGCATGAGGCACTGGGTGCTTGGCATTGCTTTGCATTGCTTGGCATTGCTTGGCATGAAGCTCCTGGGGCGGGGAACCTGGGGACTCCCCGGGAAACTGGCAACGTAACAATAGGAGGCACCGGGGAAGGAGAACCTAGGGCACCCAGGGAACCCCAGGCAACTGACAAAGTAGCAAAAGGAGGCACCAACCTTTAACCAAGTAGTAACCCCGTAGGCAAGCATAATTGGGGATTTTTTGTTCGCCTCCTGAGGGCCTCGTAGGACTCCTTTTGAGGGCCTCTTGGCCGTCTTGAGGCACTCTTGGCCGGTCTTGAAGCCATGTTGGGCCATCTTGGGACGCTCTTTGGCGGTCTTGGGTTCTCTTGGAGCGCTTTTGGGCTGTCTTGGAGCTCTCTTGGACGTCTCTTGGGCCCTCTCGTCGCCCCTCTTCCCCTCCTTTGGTGTGTTTTGGCGCTACCCTACGGGTCCAAAACGGCCGTGTACATAATCAGTGCTCTCCAGTGCCCCTGGGACCCCCTCTCATTTATTTGTGTGTGTGTATATATATATATATATATATATATAAAAAATTCCTCGTAAGGAGGCTGGCGTAAACATAAACTTCCGGAGCTCCGCGCGGGTTTTTGGAACAGCGCTGGACACCCCGCTCCCGCAGGGACGGCGCCAGAGGCGCGCCGCCAGGTGGTCCAGCGCCGATCCAAGAAATCCGCGCGGAGCTCGTGAGACAGGTCCAAAAACAGCCAAGATCTACTCCATGGGGGAGGGAGGGAAAGGGTTGGGTGTGCGAGGGCCCGCGCCGATCGGCAAAACAATGAAGAACAAAAACGATGACTTGTTTCTTCCTCGACTCCTGCAGCGTCACGTCCGTGCCGCGAGCCCTCAGCTTCTTCAGCTCGTAGTAGATGCCTATCTGGCCGCCGAGGACGTCGTCGTCGTCGGCCCCGTCGTCCAGCACCAGCACGTCCTGAAGCAGGACTCCATCAGCATCGAGTTGAAAGGCTGGATCGGAGCGGATCGGAACTCGCGTCGGAGCAAATCGCATCGGCACTGAACCGAAACGGAGTCGAATCGGCCAAGTCAGGATGCAGGGCTACGCCGTGCAGGCACCTGGCAGCACTGGACCGTCCGAAGATCGGAATCGAGCCAGGCGAAACTGGCATTGGATCCGAGCGATGAAATCGAAGCGGGCCCTGCCTGAAGCAGAGGGCTCAACTTGCGCGCCGGGATCACCCTGCTCCCCTGCAGCGGAAAAACGATGACCAGGTCGGGCAGGTAGCAGCCTCGGACTTGCAAAGCTGCGTAAACATAAGCTTTTGGAGGTCCCTGCGGATTTCTTAGATCGGCGCCACGGCCCCGCGCGCCAGGGGGGCCCAGCGCCGATCCAAGAAGTTCGCGCGGACCTCCGAAAATCTGTGCTTTTTTTTGGGGGGGGGGAGACGCAAGACTCGAGTTGGGAGGACTCGCATTGGCCTGACGTGGCTGTCAGTAAAATGCCGAGGCCCAATCTGAAATTTAACGCGAGCTCCCGCTGCAAACATCGCACGACAAATAGACCGTCAAAATCCAGGACGGGCCCGAGTCTCACGTTTCCCCGGTCCTATCTTCTTCGAGGCCAGGTCCGCTGCCAGATGCCCGAGGCTTGGCCGCAACCTCGGGCATGGTGCGCCGTGCCCCTCGGCCCTGCTGGCACAGGTGGTGGTCCGTCACCTCTCGACGATCCTCAATCCTCGATCCTCCTCGATCCTCCTCGATCCTCGATCCTCTTGCTCCTCCTTCTCCTCGATCCTCCTCCTCGATCCTCCTCCTCCTCCTCCTCCTCCTCCTCCTCCTCCTCGATCCTCCGCCTCCGCCTCCTCCTCCTCCTCCTCCTCCTCCTCCTCCTCCTCCTCCAGGCCAGTGCCAACGCGTGCCTGTCCACCGGAGCCCTTCGAAATGCGACGCGGGCGGTGTCATTAGGGGGCCGACACGGCGGGCTCAGGGAACCCTGAAGCCAAAAATATGTAGCGGCGTACAGAAGGGAGGGAGGGAGGGAGGGAGGGAGGGAGGGAGGGAGGGAGGGAGGGAGGGAGGGAGGTGGGGGAGGAGGAGGAGGAGGAGGAGGAGGAGGGAGGCTGCTTCTTAGAAGGCGCCAGCCGTACGTCTATAGATGAGGCCCGCGCCTGGCAGGCACCAGTCCAGTGCCTCCAAGAATAGGTCCTCCCCCCGCCCCACCACACCCTCTGCGCGTGGCTGAAAAACGCTGCCACCTCTTGGGGATGCGCTCCTCGCTTCCATTTTTCTTACGCTGCGCCCGCAAAAATCTCAGGAGCAAGACGTCTCGTGGCGGGCCTCGCCAAGAAGTCAGTTGGAAACGGCGCGACAGAAACATCTATGAAGAGGAAACATGGGAAACATGGTTTTCGTTTGCTTGTCTGTTCTATTTTGGATCATGATTCCTGCCGGCTTACGCTGGCGGCGGTAGCCTCGTTTTACTTCCGCCGCCTTCCGCCAACCTTCCGCCGCCCCCCGCCGAGGAAGAGGTTGCCAACGCCTTCGACCCTCGAAGGCGAGTGCCCCTCCCGGAGTGCGCCGCGCAGGCCGCGCGCAGCCGGCGGAGCTGAGCGGGGCAGGGACGCACTGGGCTGAGACGGTTTTCCGTCGGCGGCGAAGCCGAAGAGCTGCACCAGCGGTGACCGATCGGGGCGACCGAAACGCGCATTGGCCGGCAGGCATGAGGGGGGGGAAGAAGACAGACAGGGCGGCCGCGGAGGACGGGAGGAGGCGGAGGCAAGGACACACTGGGTCAACACACGTCCCGAGGATTATCGAACCTCGGGGCCGCAGTGCGCCGTGCCGGCATGCTGCTGCAGCTGCTCGTGCGCCTGCCGCAGCAGCACGTCGGGGGGAACCTCGGGAGGCTGCCCAGAAGTCTTCTGTGGTAAGTCATGGGAGCCTCCCATGCCGTCTTGCTGCTTCTTGCGAATCGACGCCAACTGATGTTAACTGACGGTCATCGACGCTGCATCGGCGATTGCTGTGTCGACGCTACAACGGCGCTTTCTCATCGATTACCAGACGCTCGCGCACGCTAGTGCACTCTAAAAGCGGAATTACGAAGGCATACAAGGCTTCCATGAGTTGGTACTGAAGAAATCGGAGGTGCGCCAGTCAAGACAGCCGCGACCCTCCCTTAGAAGAAGGAGAAGCTGCATTGACATAAGCTTCTGGAGGTCCGCGTGGATTTCTTGGATCTGCCCCCTGGCGTGTTTCATCCTTTTTGGGTTTCCTGGAAGCTCCTCGCCGCTCTGGCTGGATCCGCCTCGAGACACGGGCCAGAATGGCCTCCAGCTCTTCGCGCCATTCGGGCGCCCCCGTGGCCCTCTGCAGGCCACCCGGGCCTCTCCGCGAGCGAGCGGGGGATGCACTCCAGGCCAGGGGCCACTTCTGGCAGCACCAGGATACCTGGGTACGGCCGTTGACAAGGACCGTCACCGGCGCGTTGATGTTGGTGACCGTCACCGGAGAATTGATGTTGGTGAACTCGAGCGCCACCCGCGCGCAGCCCTCTGAAGAAGAGCAGCGGTCATCGCGCCGCTGCATGGCGGCGCGGGCGGGGGTATCCCCGCGGCCTGAGCCCGCAGCGGCGGCAGCGGTCGTAGTCGCGGAGGAGAATTACCAGCCTGAAGCATGTCCCTGTCTCATGATTGGCACCACCTGATCTCGATGCCGATCTTAAGGGCTCCCCCAGTTTCCGAGGACGCATCTCTAAGATTGTCCTCGCCCGTTGGCCTGTCGATCTTGGGGATAGGGACAATCTCGAGGCTGGTTGGAGAGGGTTGGAGGCGGCCAGGAGGTCTGGACTGGTTTGGACACCAGAAAATCGGTCAGGAGGGAGGGTGAAGCCAAATCCGCTCACAAGGTTCATCTGGTGCAATTCTTCACCTTGTATCCGTTTTTGACGGTCCCGGGGCCAGACCATTCACGATAAACGCACGGCGCGCTCTTCACGGATACGCCGCGTATAGCGAAACCCTGTCCCCCAGAGCACGGAAACATTGTTGCCTACATGAGCAGCGTAGCGAGGTCACCTAATTGGGATCTGGCCCGCAACAGAACGCCAACTAAATGTGGCTCTTTTGCCTCACCCTCTGTCCTGGACGCCATTTTGTTACACCCAGCTGGCGAAAGGCCGCTCCACGAATGTGAAGCTTACGCGCTCAGACCGTGAATGCTAATTGAGGCGTACGCGCCGACGGAATGCACCACAGGATCCTCGCGTCGCGGCGGGGGCGGCCGAGAGGCGGAGTTCAGCTAAACGGAGCCTGGCTCGCGACATGACGCCATGGACCCCCCGCAACGGAGATGGGGGGGGGGAATTCGGTTGTTTCTCGCTCCGCCGGCCAAGCCCGGCGAGCTGGCATCCTCCAAAACGCCTCCGAGGAGAGCGATCTGGCGCGAGGCGCCCAGCACCGTCGCACGACAGTCGACTCTTCGGGGGGGGTGGGGCCCGTTGCGTGAAGGCCCTCCCAGCGAGGGGCCGCTCCACGACTGTGAAGCACGGGCATCTGCACTCTGGGCGCACGCGCCCAGGCCGTGAGTGTCGAACGAGGCACGGGTGCCGACGGACAAAGCGCCGCATGGTCCTCGCGTCCTCGCGTCTCGACGACGGGCGGCCGAGAGGCGGAAGTCACCTACACGGGGCTTGGCTCGCAACCCAACGCCAACGGAGTGTAGCTTTGTTTGCCCCCTCCGCCGTCGAAGAACATAACGCCATAAACATAAGCTTTTGGCAATCCGCGCGGAGCGCCAAAACATGATGTGTGTTGTGGCGTTCTCTCCTCTTCGACACTGTCCTCCCACAACATGGGCATCCCCGAGGCGGGGCCGCAGCATGTATAAATACTCGTCTGGTCTTGCTCGTGCCGTCCCACACGACTTGCGGCAGCGCAGCGATCCAGTCGAAAGGCTATGTGAAGCACAATGGGGTCATGGGGATTCCGTGCTCCAGGGGGGTTTGTGTGCACAACCTTGGAAGTCTGGGGGAAGGTAACGACCTGGTCGAATCGTGGAAGTGTTAGCTCGTCAGAAAAATCGGGGATCTTCTGACCCGGGTCAATCCAAACCCGGGTCAGTCAGGGTCAATGCGAAGGATCCTGCAAGATCCTGCAGGATCCTGCACCCAAACCCGGGTCAATGCGACCCTGGCCCTGCAGGATCCTGCTAGATCGGGCGCTCTGGCTGACCCCCGTTCCTTGAGCCCCGAAAAAGAAGTGGCGCCCCCTTGGGCATCTGACTGATGCCGGGGATTTGGCTGTCGATTTGCGGACTGAGCGTGCGGCAGCGCATGAGGGGCGAACGCCCCCAAATGCGGGCACATAAGATTCGGATGGTGTGGTCGATCCGACCGAACCGACTGGCCAAGGGCTGTGCGTGAACTGCGCGAGTCCGTAGCTCTCGTCCTCGGTGTCCCTAGCATCTATGCCGAGCTGCGGAATAGGGGTTTGGGGGTCACAAGTTCCAATCGCGTGAGCAAAATAGCCTACTGGGAAAGGTCATGGCCGATCCAATTGAATCGACAGGCGGAGAGCTACACTTGAACTCCTGGAGTCCGTTGCTCTCTGCCTCTGCGCCTCAAAAACCGATCCATCGTGTCGGAATAAGGTTTGGGGATCACTACTGGGGAGGCATTGTTGAATACAGCTGCGCACGCTGCTCGCCACATATGGACCCCCCCGCCCATGCCTGCGTGCACCACATTGCCTTGCCTCCCTCCCCCCCCCCCGTTAGCTCCGCTCATTTGCCGTCTCCCCCTCGCCTTGCGAATGCGGCGGGTCATCCCACGAGCCCTTTGGGGCGTGCGTGATCTAGCGAGTCTCCTCTTCCGCCTTCCCTCCTCCCCTTTCTCCCCACGTGTTTCGTGGGCTTCCGGTTTTCATCCCTGCCGCGCCGCACCCGCGACCCTCACTCACCTCCCCTCCTCCTCCTTCTCCTCCTTCGCACACGGCGCAGCACAGCTCAGCACAGCACAGCACGACGGTCGTCCAGGGAACAGCAGGCGTGGGGTTTTGTCGACACCATAGGGGGTGCGCAGGGGGTGGTCCCCGAGCGCGGAGTGTATGCGGGCCATGGCGCAGGGCATAGCATGCGTGGCATTTTCTTGGCACCATAGGGGGTGCGCAGGGGGTGGTCCCCGAGCGCGGCGTCTATGCGGGCAATGGCGCAGGGCATAGCAGGCGTGGCACTTTCTCGACACCATAGGGGGTGCGCAGGGGGTGGTCCCCGAGCGCGGAGTGTATGCGGGCCATGGCGCAGGGCATAGCAGGCGTGGCATTTTCTTGGCACCATAGGGGGTGCGCAGGGGGTGGTCCCCGAGCGCGGCGTCTATGCGGGCAATGGCGCAGGGCATAGCAGGCGTGGCACTTTCTCGACACCATAGGGGGTGCGCAGGGGGTGGTCCCCGAGCGCGGAGTGTATGCGGGCCATGGCGCAGGGCATAGCAGGCGTGGCATTTTCTTGGCACCATAGGGGGTGCGCAGGGGGTGGTCCCCGAGCGCGGCGTCTATGCGGGCCATGGCGCAGGGAATAGCAGGCGTGGCACTTTCTCGACACCATAGGGGGTGCGCAGGGGGTGGTCCCCGAGAGCGGCGTCTATGCGGGCCATGGCGCAGAGCATAGCAAACGTGGCACTTTCTCGACGCCAGAGGGGGTCCGCAGGGAGTGGTCCCCGAGCGCGGCCGCTATCCGTGCCGGTCGTCCAGGGTATAGCAAGAGAGGCACTTTCCCTACACCATAGGTGGTGCGCAGAGGGTGGTCCCTGAGCGCGGCCGCTATCCGTGCCGGTCGTTCAGGGCGCTGCTGTCCGTGACGGTCGTCCAAGGCATAGCAGGCATGGCATATTCTCGACACCACAGGGGGTGCGCACGGGGTGGTCCTTGAGCGCGGACTCTATCCGTGACGGTGGTGCCCAGGGCACATCGGTACGCAAGTTTGTTAGTCGTGCCGGTCGTGCTCAGGGCACAGGGGAACGCTGGCGGAGCAGGCGTGGCATATTCTCATGACCTTAGGGGTCCGCAGGTGGTGGTCTCTGAGCGCGGCCGCTATCTGAGCCAGTCGTCCAGGGCGCAACAGGCGTGGCACTTTCTCGACACCATAGGGGGTGCGCAGGGAATGGCCACCAACATCATTCTCACATGCTTCACTTCAGCTATCATCACTCCAGCCATAATATAAGTATGTGGGGGTCCTCGGTAGCGTAATTTGGGAGGGGCTTGCCTGTCCCCCTGCTCCCTCCCTCTGGGACTGAAGGGGGGTGGCGCGAGGTGTCGGAGCGTCCAAAACGGCCTCGGAAAGGAAGCCCAAATCACGGGGTCCACTAAGGTGTTGGCCACATATTGGCCTTTTGGGGAGGGGCCGTAATCAAGGAGCCTCCTCCTTTGATCGACCTCCTCCAAGATGGCCCCAAGATGGCCCCCGAGGCTCCTCCTCCTCCCCCTCCTCCTCCTCCTGCTCCTCCTCCGATTCCTCCTCCATCCTCCCTCTCTTGGGGTACGACGTCTTGCCCAGCCCTTTCTTCCACTGTGCTCGCCTCCACACCCCTGATCAGGGCAACTCGTCTGGGCATCGGTTCCGGATGGGCTGGCGGGGTTGCGCGAAACGTCCACAAAACGTAATACACAAGCGGGCCATCGGCCGTGTGCTGGGCGGGCGAGTGTTTCGCGCGCGCACGGCGGCAGCCCTCCCAGGCCGCGGCCCTTCGCCCCAAACGGGCTTCCAGCTTGTCCCGCTGACGCCCCGCGCTGGGGGCGCCATGGCCGCCGTCGCCGAAGAGGAGGAGGAGGAGGAGGAGGAGGAGGAGGAGGAGGAGGAGGAGGAGGAGGAGGAGGAGGAGGAGGAGGAGGAGGAGGAGGAGGAGGAGAGGAGGAGGAGAGGAGGAGGAGGAGGAGGAGGAGGAGGAGGAGGAGGAGGAGGAGGTGATGAGATGAGCAAGCGGCCTAAAGCCAGTGCGGTCGAGCTATCGCTCGGCGTCGGAGGCCTCCGGATCTTGGGAGACCTCCTCGAAAACCCCGTCCAGGGGCTCTTCGGGCCCCTCCTCGGCCTCCTTGCACAGACGGCGGAGCCCATCAGCGCGGATGGCTGGCTGGTCCCCCTCCAGGAGGCCGGAGGCCCTCAGCACGTCGGCTCGGGACGTCGTCCCCCCCAAGGCACTCGCCCCCCGAAGCCCACCTCCCCCCAAGACCAGAGCCGAGGCGCCAGGGGCAGGATCTACAGGGCCAAAAACCGAGGCCAGCCTCACACGGACAGCGAGCGGCACTCCCTCGGGGGGGTTCAAGGACAGGTCCTTCAGCCCTGCCTTGCCAGACGGGTACTTACTCTCCTTAATCCGCGCAAGCTGCCACCTCAAGCCCGAAGCCGCGCTCTCTCGGAGGCACGGCCTGAGGAGAGCTCGAGTCGGCCGCTCCACGCTGAAAAAGGCACCGCAAGCACAACAAACATTCATGGCCTTGCCATCCTCATGGCCCGACCTCGCATTGACCGTCGCGTGCAGCATCGGGTGGCCATTGAAAGAGTAACCCATGTCACGATAGGCCTCGAAGCTCTCAGCTGGCAACTGCAACACGGGCTCGCACGCAGGGGCG